TGTAGTACAAGATGTCGGCACACTGCCTCCGCTCGTCAGACCCATGTCGAAGAGAGCCTTCGGCTGACAACTCTCTATTCTGTTTAAAATCAGAATTCCAAGTCTCTTGAATTTCCCTCATTTATAGTTTTAATTCGCTGATTCCGCGTGGACGACAAGGGGGTAGATAGCTCCTCCCTTGTGTTCTAATTTCCTAAAGTTAGGTTTTCATTGGGTCTTATCGGGATGTGGGCAGACCCCCTTGCGTCTGATCGCTGTGTAAGCGATCTATTCCGATTCTCCAGTGCCCGAGTTAGGCAAACTTCTAGCGCTGTGAGGACACAGCCTTGCTGAGCCAGCAAATTCTTACCCTACTTGCCATTACTGATGTTTACATGTTGCGGCAATAGCTGTGCAACACTGTTCGCTCGTCGCGAACATTTTGGGCAGTGGCTTACCTCTACTATCTCAAATTTGGGGCACAACACTCACATTGTCTACTTACCCTATAGTGTTCCTGCCTAAACCCAGAGAAGTACAGTAGTGAAAACATGGCAATGAAAGAAAGTTTTAAGCATTGAAGAGAAAGTTAAAGTGATTGATGAAATAGGAAATGGAAGGAAAAAAGCTGATGTATGCCGCAAATTTGGTTTGGTGAATTCTACAGTACAAATGATATGGAGAATCCATATTAATTCCACGTTAATGTTACGTTAGTCTGTCCTTAACTATGTATTTCACTAAAAAATTCAACATTTTAAGTCGGTTTTTGGTAGATTTTTAAGTGACTAACATAAGGCTACTGTGGAAGTGCCCATTTCGGTTACGACGACATTCGTTTATAACGACACTATTTTTAGGTCCCTTTGATGACGTTATAATGAAGTTCTACTGTATATAAGATCTAAAAGTTTGTGATGATGGTACATTGCTGGAAGTATTGTGTTTGTGGACGTTGCCCATCCTGTCTATTTTCTAAAAAAACCGCCCTGTTTATTTTTCAAAACAATGTTTCGGAAGCTGGATTCTGTCCCCGTCCTCAGGGAAAACCTACTCAGTTGGGTCCAATAGATAGAGCTAGTCCCTATCTCTGGATGATTAAGAAGTCCATACATATCGGGTAATGAAATAATGCCTGCCCCCCAAAAATATTTCTGGTATTTAAAAAGTCAGAATCAGGCAGTGCAGCCTGTAAAGTTGTTTGAGGGACTGAAAGTCTCAGGTACTGTTCTCTGGAATTTGACATCATGTAGCCTGGTAGAAAATTCCCAGCATTTCAGGGGAACCTGTGTGAAATCCCAGAAGAAGCCATGCTCTGAGAACCTAAAATCTTAGACACTGAAAGTTCCTATATGAGTTCAATTTGCGTTTGTGTCGGTAGAATCCAGATATACCGTGTTACATGCAAGTTAAAAAAATGTGATTTTCACTTAACTAATTCAGACCAATTTCTCTTAATAGCACTCATGATAATGAGACTTGCTTACTGGTTAATCACAGGAAATTAGGGTGGAAGGGGAAATAGAGTATTGCATGGGAGGTGGAGGTAGAATGCTGAGGGAGAATGGAAAATTGTCCTAGCCATTTGCGTGCTCTTCCGTTTACTTTATGTGATTTCACCCTGTGTGTCTTCTTCGTGACATAACATAAATCATTGAACTGGATAAGCTGAAATTCTTTTTTTTCGAAAACCAGATTATCATACAGAAGTTGATATATTGTGTTATATATGACATAAACACCGTCCCAAGTGCAGCAATTTATTGTAGTTCTTTTGTCTTGCACTTGGGACAGTGCAGCAGGATGCTTAAATATAATTTTGTGTTATCTGTGCAATATAGTGTGATTACCTTTCCTGAACTAGATTTATGCCTGCAGCAAAGAAACATCAAAGGCCAGTGTGGTATAAAAAATGAAATTTGAAATATATATGTACTGCATTGGAATACACCCTTCTACCCTTATTTAGCTGTCACTGAGCCTGTTTTATATTTGTACAGGTGGCAGACCAGGCTCCCCTAGCAGTGGTGAAGATGAACCTGCTCCAAAAAAGACTAAGCCAGAAGGGTTGCTTGGTAATGGCCCTGGTCCCCTACCAGGACCTGGAGGTATGATGCAAGGAATGATGCCTCCACAGGGCCCTATGCATCATCATTCTATGGCCCCCATGGGTCAGTTTGGTCCTCCTATGGGTCATCCTATGATGGGCCCTATGGGACCTCCCATGGGACCACCATTCATGGGACCTGGGTAAGTGATCATTCATGGTTCATGTTTCATGACTTGCATGTTAAAATTTTGATGCATTTTTTGTATGAAGTGCAAAATGAACGCAGGAGAGTGTGTCTGTCTCTCCTTATGCACGTTTCAGCTCCAAAATTACCATAATTTTTGATGAAATTTGATATTGTGTTTAAGCCAGATAGTTGTTAGTCAATTTTAATTCTGGTGTATGAGTATGTAATCATTAATTTACATGGAGCTCAAATACAGCTTCATCAGTTTCTAAAAGAAGGGTTAATCATATAGATATCAATATTAAACAAAATGTACATCTTATTAAGATCTATAACTTTTGTTTGAAACTTCTTGCAGCATGGTGTATATTTGTTGAAATACCAGGAAAACTAATTTTTTTAATTTGTGCAATATTCTGTCGTTGGTTATTAGCAGTCTTAGATTTCACTCTGCAGTAATGCAGTGAGATATTTTTGAGTGCCATTCAAATTGTTGAACTGCTTAGGAAGAGGAATCTGCCACTCGTTTCAACAAATCAAGCCAGTAGAGATCATAATGCTAGTGAAACAGCCAAACATACACTTTGAACACATTACTGATTGAATTTACCTAGATTGTGGCAGCTGTAAATACTCACCATTGTTCCACATACATACATACATTGTTTAAATATATGTGTGTTTGTTTTTGTTGGGGGAGAACCCCATCTCAAGATCTTGTTCCTCTGCTAGAGAGCAGAGAAATTAAGCTTTCAGTAGAACATACGTTGGAGATGAAACAATATGTAGGGGTTTAAATACTTGACGTGCATCATACATGAAATCGCTCCGAAGGGCTAATGTCAGTACTCTGTTCAAATAATTTATCATCCATATTTTTGGATGGATGTTACATTGTGCCAATAAAGCGTTCGGTGCAACTGCGAAACAAAATGAGTTTCAGCTGCTTTTTGACACGGAACTCCTCAGCTGCATAGTTTGTGGTCCAACACGCCACACCTCACCAGTATTGGCAGTCTCATTATTTCACTGTGAGACTTTATATTCAAATCTTGTTTTGTTACATGTGATACCACATAGAGCGATTGACCATGGCCTTCACAGTGAAATTAGCCATCATGATTTTATTTTTGATGTATTTTGTTTCAGAATGTCTATGATGGGTCCCATGGGGAACATGGGTGGCCCTCCACAAATGAACATGGGTATGAATCCTGGCAACAACCAACCCCAGCAGAATAAACCATTGTTCCCTAGTACAGCAACGGTTTGTACATGTTCCTGTCCATATTGCCATGAATATTAATACTTTGAAAGACTTGTTATTAACCATTGTAGTTGGAGGGTTGTAATAGTACCATAAAGGAAACAAGCATGTAAAGCATCATAGTTTTCACCCATTTACATATTTTGGGTTTTCACTGTTGAGTTCTCATCAGCATTACATTTAAATATGTATGAGACAGTAATTGTAGCATCAAATGTTAACCACTAAGACATTTTGGTAGAGCAAGACAATATAACCAGGTTTGTCAGTGGGTTCACATATCATTTTCCAGTCACATGACTAACTTTGCAGACAAAATATTCTGTAGAAGTAAATGAGAACCTGCAGAGAATGTTTAGATGTATGTGTGCTTCTGTTTCAGGCTGCTACCACAACAGCTTCTGCTCCAGTAGGTGCTGATTTCAAACCGATCACTTCAACCGTCAGTACACCGATTGGACCAGTGAAACCTACGTTTCCTGCATATAGGTACCATTTCATTTGTAATCTACTATAGTGATCTTCACTGGCAGTGACAGTGTAAAGTATGAGGGTAAGTCAATAAGTAAGTTACAAATGGATATAGAACTTAAACAAATAAGAGTACTGATTTGAAAAATGCTTTTATTTCTCAGCATAATCTCTGTATACATTGAGGCACTTGTTCCATCATTTCACAAGCCCCTGAAAACCAGCAGCATAAAATTCTTTGGGCTGCTGTTAGAACCAGGCGGTGACTTCCCTTTCTACAGCTTCATCGTCGGGAACATGTTCAGCCAAAAAATGATGATTAAGAGGGCCAAACAAATGGAAGTCACTTGGAGCAAGGATGGGGCTATACGGAGGATGCTTGAGGACTTCCCACTTCAAATTTTGCAGCGTCTCATTTGTCTTGTTGGCGGTATGGGGACGCCTGTTGTCATGCAAGAGCAACACGCCTTTGGTGAGGAGTCCTGGTCGCTTCTGTTGAACGGCCTTACGAAGTTTCCTGAGGATGTTGCAGTAGGAGTCTGCATTTACAGTTTGTCCTTGAGGCTGGAATGCGGTGAGCAGTATGCCTTCGTGATCCCAGTCACCGCCTAGTTCCGACAGCAGCCCAAAGAATTTTATGCCGCTGGTTTTCAGGGGCTTGTGAAACGATGGGACAAGTGCCCCAATGTACAGATAGATTATGTTGAGAAATAAAAGCATTTTTCAAATTTTTCTCATTTGTTTTAAGTTCTATATCCATTTGTAACTTACTTATTGACTAACCTATGTATTATGTATACAAATACATGAATATATTAGGGAAACTTATTTGTCTTATATCTTGTCTGATCATTAGGCTTATTATGCAGAAAGGGATTTTTAGCATTGTGTAATTGTAAATTATGAGAAATGAATACATTTATATGTATTAATATTATAATCTTAGGGATTCGATGCTCTGTTTGGTAAATAGATACCAGTGTTTCAGAGGAATGTGTAACCTCCTAAACATTAGTATTTTTCTGCCAAAGAGCATATCATGTCCCATATTCGCTGCTGTGAGAGCATCAAATCTCATTTATGCATACTGTTTCCAGCATGTTATAGCAATGTAAAGTACAGTTGCAACACTGTAATGTGAGCTTTTTTCCCAAGTTTCCCTACAAAAGAAGGTATTACTTTAAGTTTCCTTGAAAATAATGTAACCAAGAAACATAGAAGCATATAGCATAGACTTTCATTGCGTTAAATGGTTTGGCTTTATATCCAGCTCTTGCAATCTGTGCCGCTCACATCCAACTCACTAGCTGCTTGTAGAACATTGATTTGACACATTTCCAGTGACACTGCTTAATGAAATTGTCTTGTGTCATTTATATAACCAGCCAGACATTCTTCCATTATAAGATATTTCATGACCTTCCTTCACAGTAATTATTCCAGAATTGTTACTTTCAAATGATGTATTCCTCTTCATCCAATCTGTGATGGAGGAGTCCAGTACGTCATACTTCCTTCCTCCTACATGACTCCATACATCTTTTTCATGATACTTTTAGTTTCTCATCAATATTAAAAAGTTTGTTGCTTAGCACATTCTGTATATGATAACATTAGCTTGTGTAATGGAACATATCTGCTTACTAAGGTACACTCTGCTAACAGCCATAGCAACATTGGCATGACTACACAAGTTGGATACCTATCTTATATTGAAGGGGATAGGACATTATGTTACTGTGTTCATAAAATATTGTTGAGAAAATCCAATATTAATACTGGAATGTCAGAGTAGCATGTTAAAAGAGTCTGTCTTCTGGAATATGTCACCATCTAGACTGGTGAAAGCCAGACAGTGTTTCAGAGGTATGTATCACCATCTTCAGGGTCAAAGTGTAAGCGAAGCAAAAACCAGCATGAAGCTGGCAGGAATCTACTTGCTGTTTGCTTCATGCTGATTTTTCGCTTGTCTCCAAACTGCTTGTTGTCTTCTTCATGCTGGCATATTGCTTGGCTTACTCTTTAACCCTGAAGATGGAAGCAGTATGTTCCTCCAGCATGTTGCCTGACTTCTGCTGGACTGCATAGCAACCTGAAATCCAAAGAAGAAAATCTACTTAAGGGACATGAACTGTATTTTCTAGAGTGCTAATTTTAGGGACTGGGCAGTATGTAAGTGCAGTACTTACTCATGGAACTGAGCCCTTCTGGAGGAGCCTGCAATTCTGCAGCTACACAAGAATTTCCCAGCATTTTATGGAACCCAAAGGTTCATTACCGCGTTCACATGAGCCCTCCACTGGTCCCTATCCCAAGCTAGATCTATCCAATCCATACCATCCCATCCTATCTCTCTAAGATCCATTCTAATATTGTCCACCCACCTATGCCTTGACCTTCCCTGTGGTCTATTTCCTTCTGGCTTTCCCACCAATATCCTATATGCATTCCTCTTCACCCCCATTTGTGCTACATGCCCTGCCCATCTCATCCTCCTTGACGTGATCATTCTAATTATACTTGGAGAAGAGTACAAGTTATGAAGCTCCTCATTATTCAGTTTTCTCCAACCTCCTGTCACTTCATCTCTCTTTGGTCCAAATATTCTCCTCAACACCCTGTTCTCAAACACCTTCAGTCTATGTTCCTCCCTTAATGTCAGAGACCAAGTTTCACACCCATTCAGAACCACAGGCAAAATTATAGTTCTGTATATTCTAATTTTTATGTTTTTGGACAGCAGATGAGAAGACAAAAGGTTCTGGACTGAATGGTAGCAAGCATTACCCGAGTTCAGTCTCCTCTTAATGTACTCCTGAATTAGGTTTCGATCCGTTATCGTTGTTCCCAAATATATGAACTGTGCCACATTTTCCTATCTTTATGTCATGATTTTGCCCTGCATTTTGGTGATGAGACAGTAACATTACTTAGTTTTCTCTTTGTTTTCTTTATGGTATCTACATTATCACCCAGTAGATTCGCATCATCGGCATAGACCAACAGCTGATGTGTCCCGATGTAAGTGCAGTAGTGAAATTTATTTGTAAGGCAGTGTCTGAAAGTTCACCATGTATATTATAAACCTTGAATTCTTGAAAATGTACATTGTTGCATTTGGAGGATTGGCTAAACATAATTTCAAAGAACAGGTATCTTTTAACATGTGTTACAGCTATTTAGGCCTCAAAATTGTATTCATGGAATGCCTTGAATTGTTCCTACATCTTTTATCTCCTAATGTATGTCTTTTTTCACACTTCAGTGCTACAAGCTCTTTAAGTAGCCAGAGTTCAACACCAGTAACTTCCAGCAGTGATATACCTCAGAAGGTGGCACTTATAAATACAACAGGCGCATCAAGTAAAATTGTTCATCCTCAGGAGGACATCTCTTTGGTAAGAGCAATAACAGTTGTGATCCTTGTACAAAAAATGAAAGCATTTTCTGTCTTTTTTCTTCTGGGGTAAAGCAGCCAAGGCATGAAGCTGACTGACTGCTCACTTCTATCTACTGTCGAAGTTAAGCGTGCATGAAACTGTACTTTCATTCTCTTGTATGCTTTCATAGCAAAATACAGTGTTCTTTCAACTTATGATGCCATCAGTTAACCATATTTCAGCTAATGATCTGCCTCTCATGGGCATCCCATTGTTTCTGCTAACAGTATGTTGGCAGTATTGTGCAGCAACCAATTTCAGCCAGTTCGAAGGCACTCAAGTGCAGTTGTCAGTCCTCAGCCAAGCATCGTTTTATGGGCATTTTCAGTGTCTGATATGCGTAGCTTGTGGTAAGCAAAGTGAGGAAAACAATCAGCATACAGGTGAAGCAGGAAAGTATTGAAAAGAATGAAAGAGATGTAAAAATACGGGCTCTGGTTAGCGAATATGGCTTGCCCCAATCCACCATTTGTACAGTTATTCAACAAAAGGGCAAATATAAAGCAACCAGTGTGAAGGATACCTTGACCAGGATTTTGAAGGTAAGGAATAATTATATGATACGGATTCATGAGAAGAAATTCAAGGTGAATTTGTTAAGTTCCTAGTTAATTTGTGACAAAGCTAGACAATTTTTTGAAGGCTTAAAACAGATCACCTCTGTCCTTCTCACAGTGTCAAGAACCTTAAACCAGGAAATCGTTGTTAGGCATGTGGAGGCTGCCAGTACAGATTAAGAAGATAAAAGAGAAATTTAAGGTAGAATTTTGCAGATTTGATGGAGAAGGAAGGCTGTCTTCCTCAACAGATGTCCAGTGTTGATGAGACTGGCCTGTCCTAGAAGATGCCCAGGAGAACATACATCATGAAGGATGAAATTACTTTGCCAGGCCATAAGTCGACGAAGGACAGGCTAACATTGTTGGTAGGAGATTTCAAATTGAAGCCCATGCTTGTGTGCCATTATGACAGTCCAAGGGTCTTCAACCAACAGAATATCATCAGAAGTGAACTGGGTGTCCTTTGGAAGTCCAACCAGAAGGCATGGGTTACCAGGCTTCTGAAACTCTCGAGTCCTACCTAACCAAGAACAAGATGGAATTGAGAGCTGTTTTACAGAAGGCACCTGAACATGACTTGTTTCCTCTTTGACTGTCGAATCATCCATTGTCAGTGAACTTTCTGCTGGCTAACACCACATCTTTGGTCCAGCCCGTGGACCAGCAGGTCATTGCAGATTTTAGGAGGCTGTACACCGAGAAAGTTTTCCACCAATGTCATGAAGCAGCATCATTTGATGACTGCATAATATTGAAGGAATTCTGAAGGACAAAATTTAACATTCTGTAGCTGGTAAGGAGTGTTGTGGCAGTAAAAAGTTTCAGTGTGCTGCTTGAATGCTGCATGAAAGCTTCATTGGCCAGCAGTTTAACAAGATTTTGAGGGATTCAAAAATGTTGTTACTGTTGATAAGGATATAGTTTCACTTGGAGAATGAGTGGGGCTTGAAGTGGACAAGGTGATGTGGAAAACCTTTTTCAGTCCCACAGTAGGGAACTCACTATTGAGGATTTGCAAGAACTGGCCAGCTTCACTGAGCCCACAACAGTTGGGAGGAGGAACACGACCAAGGTAATACCATGTCAGCTTCTGAGACCAAACTTCTAACTGCTTGGGACAGTGAAGTGACTGACGCCCAGACTTCCAGCCATGGAAGAAACATAGCTGTTACTCTGAAGTTTCGAGGGCAGAGGGATTATCAGTAGATGAGGAAGCCAACACAGCAGACAACTCCTGACACACAAAGAGACCATTATTGGTACCATCTGCATCTCAAGCCAGTACCTCTAATGATCCCTCAGTTTTTATTATATGCCCTATATCTGGACCTTTTTATACTCTGTTTATTATTTCTCAGTCCTCTTTAATAGTAGTACTTCATAGGGTTCATTCATTAAAATTGTATGTAAATATTATAAATAAGGTTTTAGGAGGAAAGGGATCAACTTCTGGTCATGTTTGAAGGCATTAGGACTTTGATGTGTATTTCATATATTTGTTTAATGATGATTTTTGTGGAACCAGTTAATGTCATTGACCACAGGCCCACTGTACTTAATTAAGCACGAGCATAACTTCACCTTTTACCACCCATATTGAAAGAAAAGCAGAGGTTTCCAATATATAAATTGAAATTGTCATGAACAGATAAATAATCATTGAGTTCAAGATCAAATCTACATTTACACCTAGAAGTTGGAATAACACCATGTGTTCAAATGGAACAGATTTGTCTGTCTCCAGAGTATATATCAGGAAGTAGAAGACCACTGTGGAGGCTCAGAAAAGGGTCCAGTGACAGTTTCTCAGGAAGATCTTCATGAATTTTCAGGTTCTGTAAAAGGCCAGGGATTTCTTTATCAGCTGAATGACTGTTTGTTTCTCAAGAAGGATCTTGCACCATGTTAACATGCCTTGTGTTTGTGCAGGAGGAAGTACGTGCCAAGCTACCAAAATACCAACGCCAGACACCAGTGAAGACTGTTGATTCCTCCACTTCAACTCCCCAACCTCAGGTGGAAGTACGTACTAAGAAATACTTATACACTGTCTTCTCCTCACCAGGAAGCCTACTGTGAATAATAGAATATTCTATTGTATTTAGAATATGCATCTTTATTCATACCCAGATATTAAACAGTGAATGAAATTAAGATACATTTTTTCATGACTGCAAAGTTTTTCCGTGAAAAAGTTATATTTCTGAAGTCCTACCTAAACTCCCGCAAAGATAATGTTAATTTTTCCGACATATATAAAGATCCTTTGTAAAAATGTTCCCACTTTAGATTTTTATTTTCTTCTGATTTTATACAAAAATTCTCTGTTTCATATGTTTAAAGTAATATTGATGAATTGCCCACAGTGGGCAAGTTCAATCATAATATGCTTAAAAGGCTTTCAAACTGCTATTTATTTCTTAATAGTTGAACTGTACCGTAGTTGATAACCAATTGCAGACCACTTCATAACTTATATCAGACTTCCTGACAGATCATTTCCAGATCCACAGTTTTTGTTATTCACCATTAGTATGTGAAGTGTTGGAGTAAAGTAATTTGGATTAAATATGAAGGTAGTTCAAATTAAGTGGAAAGCAATGACTTTTCAGGAGAAACATAATGTTTTACAGAACGTGGAAGCAAATCCAAATACAACATGTGTTCAGATGTTTGTGTTACTTATATAGAGCTTTTAGGTGGTCTGGATGTATATAGCCAGACTCCCATTATCTCTGTAGTGACCATAATGCAAGATGCCCTTTTAGTGTTCTGTAACAGATGTTCACTTCCTTGCAGGAAGAGCGACGTGCTGTAATGCCCCGCTATCAACCCCGGCCTCCTATGGCTGTGGCTGCAGTACCAGTTTCTGTGGCTGCAATTGCCCCACCTGTAAGCAGTGTGGCCATCATGTCACCTATGGCTGGTCCTCCTATCATGAGGCATGCCATGCATTTGGGCCCCCCAGCTGCCATGCTAGGAGGTAACATGAACATGATGCGACCGCCCCCAATGGGGCTTCCTCCAGGTAAGTCCACCAGCGACATGGTGCACCATGTCATGCCATGCCGCAGGGAGTGGCGAGCCTCACTCACTCTTACATTCAAGGAAAGGTTGGTTTTTGGGTAATGATGTATTACACAAAACTTAGGAAGTTGAGTCCATGACATAAATACCAAATAGACATGCATATTTTCAGGATATACATGAAATACATCATTTGGAATATTGTGGCTCTCCTGTAAACATATGCAGATAGAAGAAATGGAATGGATGGAGCTAAGCCAGTTGGTGATTGGTGCAGATTGAACTTTTTACATGGACAGTATATTTTAAATATTCTGCCTTCTTGTCTTCTTCAGGCATTAAGTTGAGAAGCCGTTATATTGTATAAAATGTAATGTCCATATTGTTTGATTTGTGCAGCAAATACCAGTCAGGTACCTGAAAGTGAATGGTGTGGTTTTCGTGTTTTATAAGAAAAGCTTCATCCAATGTACATACCAATTTGTTCAAAAACCTCTACATTTACTAACAAATTAACACATTGCCTATAACTGGACCCTTTGTCTAGTTGCCAGGGTCCACTGTCTAATGCTTGGATATGTTTTCATGCCACTGCTATGCATCCATTGGTATGTTCAAACTTGTAAGGAAGTTTGTCTACTCTAACTTACGTGTATTGCAACACTTAGTATGTGTGATAATTCACAGTAGCTTAAAAACATGACCTGAGACAGAAAATATTAAAAAGTCATGGTGACAGTCAGTGTGATGGTGATGATTGACTGTTGGTGATTAGTGATTGTTTCTAGAGATCATTGAGTTTGATTAAGGTAATGGAATAGACACCATGTTTGTGCATGAATGTGCCACACACAGATTTTTAGGTCAGTAAATAATAATACTATATAAGGTGCTCTGGAGTTTCCTATATGAAAGCAAAATAATTGCTCTTGCATTCATGGCACTTTGGTTGTTGATTTCACCATTTACAGTAATTTTCCCATGTCACAGCCTTCTAACTTCTGGGAATCAGTGGTGTTGGCTTCTCTCCTCTAATAAAAATACACCAATATCACTTGACCCATGTCAGTAAATATGCATCCTGAAAAACAATGTATGTTATGGGAAAATTAAATTCATTCTACTGCCAGCAGAGAATAATGATTTATGAGACACTTCATGTCACAGCAAAATATGACATTGGCTCTGTCCACATTAAGCAAAAGACTCAACGTTAAATATAAAATTCAAATGATAGAAATTATACAGCTGATCTCCAACCTTGTGGTAGCATGACAGTGATTATTGATTCAGCGTCATAAATATTGAGTACACATTGTCAAACACTAATAATTGCTGCTGGGTATTTCACAGTATATTATACCAGCATTCAGGCTCAGTCATATACAGAATAATGAACCCCCCTCCCCCAAGTGTGTAATGTTCTGTGTATAAGCCTCACCCATACTTGGAAGAATACATTTAGCAAAGAAGTGCATTTTGTTTGTGCACAAAATACACTATTTTTATACAAGGTAGAAGGCCCATAGGGCTGTGAGACATTCATGGTCCCACATTATCTAGACAATCGGCTCAAAGATGGTGGTAAGGTTGTCAGCCTTACGTGCTGGCTGCGCTTTATTCCACAGGAAAATTATTTATTTAATTCCTGGTATTCATTTCTGTTAAAGGCTGAGTGAACCCCAGGTCCATAGTGTGGCCGGAGGTATATCAAACAGTTGATATTGAAATTTGAAAATGTTGTGGACCAGAAAACCAGATGGTATATTTGTCTGAAAGAAAAGAACAAATCTTTTGAGTTGAGAGCTGTTGCTGACTATAATACAGTCCCAAGATTACCTATAAGTGCGTATGGTTGTAAAATGAAGGAATAAATCCAAAGTGTGTGTAGTTCATTGTTTTATGGTGTTGGATCAAATGTAGCGATGATTATTAGAATGAATATTCATTCATGTGCAGATTTTTGATAGCCTTATAGGATAGTCTGTGACATAGCTGAGGTGGTTGGGTATTCATAAGCTATATATCACATAGGCCTGGGTTCATTCCCTGAGTAGTCCATGTGATGTTTGTAGTGGACAGAGTAGGACTGGGGAAAGTTCTGCAAGCACTTCAGTTTTCCCTTACCACTTATCATTCCACCAATTCAATAAGTATGTAATAATATACCCTTCAATAAAATAAACGAACATTTTAATAATGATATCTCATACATCAATTTTATGATCACTGGTTTTGAATTTTATATGAGTTTACATTGTGTAAAGTTTTAATATGACACTTGGAATACTGTCCAGTTTTCCTCCCACAAATTCAATTTCTTTAGATTTTAATCTTGAATTGAAGATCTTCAAGGGGAAATTTTCAATCATCTACAAATATGTTAATTTGGTGTGCCAAGAATTGTTTAAGAAATGGTGGAAAATGATACCACTTACCTAGATGATAACTGGAGCAAATATGAGTTGTCTTTGAGTTGCAAGAATATGAGAGGTCTGACTGTCAAGTGAATTATTTTTTACTGTAATATGGCTATATAAGTTGCACATTTCTATAGTTCAGTGTGCTAAAATACAGCTTCATGCTTATTCTTAATACTCGATAGTGTGTGCATTTTTGTACACCTTATAAAGGGATAGGCAAACTATTGCCAACAGGCTAAACCAATCCTTTCAGTTATAAAGAGCGAGGCATTCCTATTAAATCAGGACTTTAACTACAGCATTTTCAAACCTCTGACCAACAGAAAAATCAGAAGTTTTCTAATATGACATGCACACACTTCTAAGCTAGAAAAAATGTTGTGAGGCAAGTCTTTACGAAAGATTTCGGTTCTATTTTAAGAATGTATGTATGTATATATATATATATATATATACGTACGTACATACATACATACATACACAGTTGTTCACATGTGGAAGTGTTGAACATGTTGAATACTAATTTCTTCCAATCATTCCATTGGGATCACTGATACAAAAAAGTGTTCTCATATGTGAGAGATTTCTATCAGCAATGAATACTTTTCTTATTGACTGAGCTCTGAATGCTGTGGACTCATAGCAGTTTTAATATTTTGTGTCCAAAGCCAAGTAAGAGGAGAGTATGAAAAAAAATGTACCCATGTCAAGATGGACAGTATGAAAGTAAATGTGGAAGTATCTGCAAACAGTGATATAGATGAAAGTGATCTTGAATTAATAGTAGTGATATTTGCATTATTGAGAATGTTTTAGCTGTCTGCAAAAAACCATCTGTTTATAAACATGGTGCAAGAAGTGGCTGGTTATATTTCGCTGTTAGTGATAACAGTCTGGTGATTATGTAAATGGTGCAAATAAAAATAATATTAAATATTCTGTGAGAGTTCCCCTCTACTTCATTCAGGTATGTAGCTTTGTTTAGGAGTTCTTTATATTTTTGTGAGTATGTGTGTGTGTGTGTGTGTGTGCATGTGCAAATCAGTTTTTCTTAGGAAGTGTTCAGAAACACTAATTGGTGCAAAGTGTCAGTAGAGATGTATGAAACATGATTTTCATTTCTTATTCCGCTTTGATACCCATTTATTTTTAAACATTGGTTTATAATAGGCTCTTTTTCAAAAACGATATATCGCATTCTGTCATATAGTATGCGCCCAAAATCTGAGTGCATGATGTATGTCGCGTAGACCATTGCTTGGGTGAGTGAAGAAGCGTAGAGATTGTTCTACTCTCAATTCTGGAAGTGTCATCATACTGTAATAAGCATGAGCAGTACATGTAGACTCATATTTACAAATCTTTCTCACATAATAATAAACTAATACACCGATAACATTGTGTATATTATTGTTATAAAATTGAAGTAATTATGTGCTAATTGATTCATAAAGCCATGTCATTTCCATTATTCCAACTTGATCTTTTCACATCTTCACACACACACTGATAGGAAGTTTCATCTACCAGAATGATGTGGTAAGATGCAGTATCTAAACTGTTGTAAATGTTGGAGGTAAATTTTGAATTAATTTTTCTTTCACCCATTTCTCTTTATTGTTTCTGTTCATATGATGATACCGTTTGTTTATTCTGTATCGATTTTAACATTAGCAGAGCATTCAACGAAGCCTTTTCCTCTCTTAATTGAATTATGATTGCTGGTCTTTAGGCAGAGGTGCAAGTAAGCCATCATTTCTGTCATCACTGTAGACCTTGTTAATATGCATGACTCGTGAACATGTATAAACGCTGTTTCAGCTTTCTGTCCTAAACTGATTGTTTCTCTAAAGTATAAAATTTGTTTCTGTGGTATGTCGTGGCTTTCTGTTAGAACTGGCCTGTTGCCTTTTGTTTTCTCCTGTTTGAATCCCAGTTGGATAAGAATTTTTTGAGAAATTATTTCCTCCCTAAAAATATATTGATTTTGCTAGCTTCTCTTGTGAGCGCAATACAATTGGCATTTGCTTCCCTACTCTGTAATTGTTGCACACTGCTTTACTAATTACTGTTGCAATAAAATCATTGATATTGCAGGCTCATTTCTTTCATTGGTCACATTTAATAACTGAAACTTGAAAGAAGGAGTTTCCTTTTCTGACATCATTTTGTTCCTCCTCCTCTTTTTTTATATTCAGATTGTAGAGAAACTGTCTTTAGTTCTGCTGCTTGTTTATGTGCCAGTTAAATATTCATTGTAAATGCTCCCTCATTGACTTCAGTTTTGATAAACTTAACAACACTGCAGTGGCTGTGGCTGTGGCTGTGCTTCTGGCAGGCAGTGTTTTGTCCCTCATGCAACCTACAGTACATGTCATACCAAACGACTTGTACTTTTGTCTACAGTAGTCTCATTTAATAAGAGAAATATAATTGGTAGATACAGTAGTTTATGTTGCTAACATTATTTCAATAGAAACAGAAACTGTATGTCATCTAACATTGTATTTCATCATGATCAGCAGTTGACAAATACTGACTCAGTTCACCTGTTGAATAAAAGTTTTTAGTAACAAAA